CGCTGCTTACGACATACACGTCATGATATGGGATTACGGATATTTTTAAACTCTCATCACATTGTAAAACTTTTTAATATAATAAAATAAAAAAAAATGGACCAACACTTAATCAAAGAATGTTCTGTAATTAAATTATACACAACAATGCTATTTAATTTCTACACAGTTAAATAGAACCATTAACGTAGTAGAGCCACGCTGCAGCTATATTGTAGTTGAAGCCTGAATGGGATGGTTCAACCGGGATAAGACCACGCTCTCACATACTACCAGCAAAAACTATGGTTGGTTGGTATGGTTTTTTTATGGTGAGGTTTGATTCGAAGACCCTCTTTCTGGAAACGAAGCAAATCATTTTATTCTTAAAATCCAGCATCCGTAATTTGTGCTCGTTTGTCACCCCTATTCTATAAAAAATATTTTGAAGAAGATTACAAGATAAAGTCATATTATAATTAGGTACTTTTGGTTTATTTAATATAGTCCATGAAAAGTGTTACTAAACACGTACGTTTTCAAGCCCACTGAATGTTCTCTCAGGTCAAGAATATTCTTATTAAGAGAGTAAACCCACACTTTGTTTACGAATACGAGGCGGCAGCCACTTGAGAAGCTCTCTTCCGTTTAATATCATAATACTCACTATTCTCCACATAATTACCGACCCGAAAAATAATCATAACTAAGGCTTATCTCAAAATCATAATACCGAAATTGTACGAACTGCGACGCGCGGGGAACTATTCCCAACAATTCAAGAGCCGTTGAAACTTATTTCTCGACTTAATCAATTGTGTGTTAGTTATACGATATTTGCCGCATTTTATATTTTACTTTTATTGAAAATAACCCTCACATTAGGATTTTTTTCCTTTTTTATAGATTAAGAGTACCAAATGAGCACACCGTCCACCTGATTGTAAGTGGATGTTATGGCCCATAGATATCTACATTTATCTTCAATTAAGAATAAAAATGTGGCTGCTATTTTATGCTGGTAGTCCTCTTACTCAATCGAGTCAACCCACTCGTGCTGTAACTATGAAATTCTTTCGTCGTAGAGGCGTTTTACATACAAAAGCTGCACATGTACAAACCATATTTCTTTATCACTTTTTTATTTGAAGTGAATTAAAAAGTAACTTCCAATAAGTATTATTTATAATCTATATTGAATAAAAAGGTTTCTGTTCTGTTTCTATTTCAGATAAACGGACAGATACATAGAAAAACATATTACAAAGAAATGATTGCACATGTCTTGGCATGCTATCTGCATATCTTCTCAGCTAAAAGCAGTTATTTCGATATTATAAAGAGATACTCTAATTTTATATGTAAATATTTCGTATAAAACAATCCAATTTTTAATATCTTAGAAAAATATGACCTGAATAACATACGAATTACGATCTCATTTTCTTCAGTCGCACTCAGTGAGCAGTCAAGTTTGTTTACATCAATTTGTCAAGTTGTAACTTCGTGTACAAAGTTTCAAATTCTTGTTCAGTAAGACAAGAAGTTCAGTTTGACAAATATAAACACATCTACTAGTACTTTCCTGGAAAGTGAAATTACTTTTTACTCATAGTTATTGCCAAATGTGATATCTTTGGAAGTATATTTTGCTAACTTTAATTTATCATATTTCATACATATAATTTTATTGCGTAATATTCAAGTTCCGTAAAAATATATTATTAATTTTGTATTTCAATATTAAATTTTCCTCTTTTCCACTGTTGTAAGAACTTCATATAATTAATTGGAAACTAATAACTGTGGAATAGGTCTAAAGTATTTATTTCACATTTATTTTTTTACCGTAACCTACCGGATACAGAAAGGTGCAAGAAGTACTCCCAAGATCGTCCATGTGGGTCGACTGGCGCGTAAAATATATATATATATAAAGTGTTAAGTATAATTAATTATTAGTGTGTTTTTAATTTTATTTGGTGCTCGGTAATGAAAGTGTCAACTTTGTTAATTCAATCAGCAGTTTCTCTCTCAGAAATATTTCTCTTTTAGAATGAGTAGAACATCTATTGCGTTGTCTATATAATTATTTCATTTAACATAAACACTGAGGCCTGTTACCTAGAAAGGTAGGAAAAGATTACGGACTTCCATTTGGCATGATCCTGACACAACTTTTTTTGCTTCTTTTATTATATATATATATATATACCAAATACCTACGCATACATGCTCGTTAGTTAAGGGCACCTTAATCTGGGCCATATTCGATATATCGCCAATTTGGTCGAACAATTTTCGTCTGCGGCGTTCCTTCCCGTTCCTTCCCGACACACTTCCGTTCGATTCGATAAAGTAAATTTCCTTTTTCAATCTTTCTTTGTTCATTCTTTCTACATGATCAAACCATCCAAACATTCCTTTCTTAATCCTGGTCATAATTTTATCTTGTAAAATGTTTCGCACTTTTCTCTTGTCATACTTTTTCTCACCCTGTCATTCAGATTCAGCCCTTACATAATCCTTAATGACCGCATACCTACAGTATTTATTCTAATTTCATGCTTCTAATGCCACACCAAATTTTCACTACCATACATTAGGATAGGTACTAACATAGCATTTTGAATTGTCATACGTACCCTTTTTGACACACTCCGACTATCCACAATAGTGTGAAAACACCCATTTACACTATTACTTGCGTTTACTCGTCGTTCACACATCCTTATCATAATATCTTCCATCTCTGCTACCAACATATTCCTGCAACATAAGGGGACTTCAGTAAAACCTTAACGCCTCCACTACCATCTGTAAACGGTGAAGCCGGCGTGCTCTTTCTACTCGAGATACAGGTGTCCTCTCCGGCTGTTACTTCGCATCTATCATATCCTGGATACAAAATATAATACTCCTTTGTGCCCCGGGCTGGAGTTGACGTATAGGTCAGATAGGACATCTGTTTTCGATGCCTCGGTAGTCTTGAAGTTACGGACTTGTCTATCATATGGACAGACAGCGACGATCACCCCCGCGTCTACGGGTGTCTCTATAGGTCCCATAGCGGTAATGCTGACACAAACCAACTCATCGACTACGTACAAATGGCTGCAAACTCCGTGGTTCAACAGGCTCATCCGCAGATATCGTGATATTTGGTGATTTAAACGCCCACCAATCTGAATGACTTGGTTCTCGTTTAACCAATCATGCGGGTCAATCATCTGTTTATGACTTTGCTTTGGCATATGGTCTGATATAAATGCTTACCTCGCCTATGTGGAATACTGAATTGAAGACGTTGGAACTTCTACTGACCTCTCATCGGGATGGATATCAGGTCTTCGTCGATGGCCCTCTTGGATCCTCGGACCATTCTCTGTTTCGGAATATGAAGCCATTCACGCTCTCATCGCAGTTGAGTTGTACAAGTTGCGGCCGTGTTTGGCATTATAGGTCAGCGAATTGGGATATGATGCGATCTTCTTTTGCATCCTACCATTGGAGGCAGGTTTGTTTCTCGCCAGATGATCCCAGCGTTGTTGTTGATCCTGTCACTGATGTGGTGCTACAGGGAATTGAACTTTTTATTTCATCATCTGTGATACTTATCGGATGCAGAAACCAGCCTTGAATTGGTCGCTCCTGCAAAATTTCAATCCTGCAAAATGCAATTGCTACCAGGCTGGGCTCAGGCATCAACTTTTCGGTATGTAAATATCATCGCCTTTAAAAAGAAATATAAATCCGCCTCCAGGTTCTTCAAAAGTGTCATTGTTAACGCAAAGTCAAATACATCACCAGAATTTGCGAGAAACTTATTCGTCTTCCTTTGGGAATACGTGCATTCTGATATCTCGCCAAGGCTATCCAAGGGAACTTCTGTCAACCGTCTCTCCCATTTCTGCACAGGGAGAACGACTCACTGGTCCATGCCGCAAAGGACAAAACTGATCTGCTGGGCTCTCTCTTTGCTTCAAACTTGACTCTTGATGGCAAAAAAAAAAACTCACCGCCGACAATCCTGCGGTGTGAGTGCTCCATGCAGGATGTGCTGTTTACCCAACACTCGGTCCACAGAGCATTTTTTACCTTGAACGTCAACAACTTGAGTGGGCCTGATCGCGTCACTCCTATTTATTTGTGTTATTTATTTATATAAAATGGTTGTACGTAACGGTTTATATTCACTTTTACGTTACATAAATAGCCATTATATACAAAGTTTTGACTTGGAATACAAATTAAAAACGCGAACATACAGTTTTAACATGCGTTATCCGTAAACATATTTATGTATATATTTTAGCCGAAAAAAACAATTTACAAATTTAACCACTCTTATGATAATTTAGTGAAAGTTTTATTAAGACGATAAATAATTAATGAGGAGTTAGTTGACTTGAAGTAGTGGAATAATTTAGTGCGAAGCTTACTTATATTACTGTCAAAGACATCAATGTGAGAACATTGGTGTCTTTGACTCTGACTCCATCAGGCCTGTCTGTCCATGCGACACATGAGTGTTAATAAGGATTGTAAAATGTAGTAGTATTGTTTAGTAATAAAATATTGTTAAGTATTGTTTTATGGACGTTTAATATAAATGTATTAAGATGGCGCCTATGATTTGACTTAATATTAAAATTGATTTGGGATAAAAGATTTGGGGAAACAATTTTGCAATATATTAGTTTATGTAAGCAAAGAATTCTTGTATAGCATATCAATACGCAGTGATGAAACTCCAAATGTAAGTAGTCTCCCCTGATAATACAATAGTTTGCGATTTATTTTCAGCCGATAAATAACTATCTTAAGAGTTTTGTTTTGGATCTCTTTTAGACGCTTTGAGTGCGCTTCGTAAAATGGAGAACATACAAGAGAACAATACTCAAGAGTACTTCTTATCAAAGCATAGAAGAGATGTATAAATGTGGATGATTTTTTAAATTACTGCTTGTTCTGGTTATAAAACGTAATGTTTTGTATGACTTAGAAATACTGTGATCATAATGATTCCTGAAAGTAAGTTTTTCGTCGAAACACCTAAGTCTTTTGCAACTGAATTTCGCTTGAGAATTAGACCTTCAAATATATAATCGTGATTTATTTTTTTACATTTGTTGGTAAAAGAAAAACGAAGCATTTCTTTATATGTAAGTACATACAATTTTGTTTGCACCAGTCAGAAATTGTGTTAGCATCATTTTGAAAATCTATACAATCATTAAGATCATTAATTTTCTTGAACACTTTGAGGTCATTTGCGTATAATAGACAAGGAAAAGTTAGTTTAGGGATTAGGTCGGTTATAAAAATGAGAAAAAATAGAGGGCGCAGATGAAATCCTTGCGGAACACCTGATTGAATGGTGACAACAGACGATTTCTACCTCTTTACAGTAACTCATTGGCTACGGTTTTCTAATTAAGACTATATCCATTGGAACACATTACCATGAATGCCGTACCACTTGAGTTTCTGAGAAAGCAATGCATTTACTTTGTCAAAAGCCTTAAGAAAATCCGTATATATTGTGTCAACTTGTCCACTTATCAGGAAGGCTGATCAAATATATACCTTAAATTCCAACAGATTTGATATTGTGGACTTTCCCTTAACATAACCATGCTGTCGCTCAAAGAGAGTTGGTTGTACATGATAATAAATTAGATCATAAATTACAGATTCAAACACTTTCTTGATACAAGAAAGAATACTGATCGGTCTATAGTTACGCATAACGAATAGTTACCTGATTTGTGTATTGGAACAACATGATGTGCAAGTTTCCACGCTGATGGAAACGACCCTGCTCTTAAAGACTTGTTAAAATTTTCAAGAGTAGACTTAGTTAAATAGCACATTTTTTTGAGGAATGTAGTATTATTTGTATATGGTCTGGTTCTGTCCCTTCATTAAGATAAAGTTGCTTTAATTTAAGAGTTACATCATGTTCTGTTACAGTGAATTCCGGTAGCATATTTTCACATATTTTGAGTGATGGCAGTACTGATTGAGTGGAATCTTCAAATACTGTACTAAAGTAATACGATAGTTAATCGGAAATTCCAGCTGTGTCTGAAGCTCTGGCATTACCAAACGTCATTGTTATTGGGATACATTTTTTAGCTTTTCTATTATTAACAAAAAACTTTGGTATTCGTTTTGATAGCGTCTATAGTTACGTTAATAAAGGCAGAATAACATTCCTCCAACAGAAACTTGGATATGGCACGCAGTATTGAAAATGTGTCGTAATCTCGGGGATTACCATACATTTTATACTTGGTACTACTACTTACTACTACTCCTTGTCCTCTAAAACAATGGAGTCCTTTATTAACATCCAGCTCATGCGTATCACCAGCTAATAAGTGACTGCCAGTACGGTTTCCGTCGCAATCGTTCGGCTGGTGATCTTCTGGGTTCCCTAACTTATAAATGGGTGGAGGCAGTAGAATCTACGGGGGAAGCGTTGGCCGTTAGTTAGGACATTGCAAAGGCCTTCGGTCGGGTTTGGCACAAAGCAATTTTAGAAGCTTCCTTTCTATTAGCTTCCCGAGAAATTGTGCAATTGGATCTCCAGTTTTCTTTAAGATTGGAGCGTCAAGGTCATGGTAGACGGTGCATGCTCCGATTACAAGCCCATTAATGCAGCTGGTGTTTCACAAGACTGCGTGCTATCACAAACGTTGTTTCTTCTGCATATTGTGACGGCCCACCATTATAATTAATAATTAATTTCTATATAAGGTGGCGTCAAGAAATAGTCTTAAAAGATATATTATATTAAACAATAAAATTATATTAATAAGAATAAAGTTAAAATAAATACATGTTCTACAGCGTACATTGAAAATAAAATAATAATTTAATAATAATAATAATAAAATGGCGGACGTTATCAAAAGTAAATGATGCAGTCAGTACAAAATCTTAAAAATGAATTTTTGTAGCATATGTTTCAAATTCCCAAATAACAAATTCTCAACGCAAATAGATTTTACAATATCATATCAATATAAATAAAACTTTGAAAATCTGTGGATAAGAAACTAATTTCAGGAAAATTTATTTCTTTCAAATTGACAATTGTCATCTAAGAAATTTTACAAACAGATTTATAAAATATTTGATTTAATGTCACATTATGCATCGAACGAGACGACAAATACGAATAAATACCGCCAATGCCACAATCGCACACGTAACATCGCCTACGGAGGACTACACATCCATGGAATGTAATCCAAGAGGCACAAGAAGAACCCCCGTACCATCTTTGAGGGGACGAAGAGCGCCAGCGGCTGGCTTGGTACCTACAGGAATTACCATCTTACTGATGGTGTAGTTTGACGACGCATGCGCTGGACTAAAGAATTAAATATAAGTGTTATGCGCGCGTACTATAAGGCTACCAAAGGAGGAATCAATCTTACATCTTATCGCCCTAAAATGCTGTCTGAATTCCAACAGCTACAACCCAACCTAACAAACTTAACTGCCCAAAGACTTTCAGATCAAGTACGTGTCATTCTAAGTCGTAAGATTTTAGACGACAGATTAATTGTACAACTTTGCAGTGAGTACTCAACATCTACTATCAATTCAATTCCTGACTCCCAACGAACACTTCCAGGTGAGACTGATGACTTAAATGTAAATAACAGTAACCATAATATAAATATTACTAACTTAAATAACGAAAAATTAGAGCAAAATTGTTTTGATATAGATGTGAGTTCCAAAGACAGCGAATATATGAAAAGGACTTTCGAATGTTCCCTTCTGAAATATAAAAATACACCTATAGAAAATAGACCGAAACTACTTAAACTTCCTAACAACAAAAAACTATTTTAACAGTAGCATCAATGAATATTCTATGTAAAGATTATTTTGAAAAAAGTAACTCTATTTTGGAAACTACGTCTCTTCTATACTGTTGTGCCCATGCTATATGTATGATAATGAAAATTCCTGTCATTTCAGTACAAAATTTTAAGAAAAATAATACAGAATCTAAATGGAAACAAAGAATTCAAAAACGAATTGATAATACTCGCAAAATTATAGGAAAATTAATAAGCTACCAAACAGGTAACAGACGTAAAAAAATAATTACTTTAGTAATCAAATCGCTAATGAAAATGGTATTAGCCAATCAGATCCCCATTTTCCGGATAAAATTACTGAATTCATTGATACACAAAAACAAAAGTTAAAATCATGGGCCAAAATTCAGAAAGATCTAAACGGTACTTCCAGAATCACACAATATCGGTATCGGTCTTGGGAGAACACTACAACTAATAGTTGTACTCATGGCAGCCTAAGCTTAAATGTATGTCTAAATTTTTGGAAATGTATGTGGTCTAACGAAGTTTCTCATAATGAAAGCGAATGGATTCGTGCAACCGAACGTAAGTTTTCTAATTTGGCTATCATGAGTTCTATTTCAAATACTGCTGAAGATGTACACTCAATTACTCGTCGATTACACAATTGGAAATCACCTGGACCAGATGGTATATACAACTTTTGGCTGAAATGGATAACAGGTAGCCACGTGCATTTAGCTGCACAGATTCAAGAAGCCATAGAGTATTGTGAGCTCCCGATACTTCTTACAACTGGTATTACCCACTTACTATATAAAAATGGAAACACCACTGAACCTAAAAATTACTGACCTATAACATGCCTTTCAACTGTATACAAATTAATAACTGCAATTTTGAATAACAAGACCTATAAACATTTGGAAAATAATAACATTCTTTCAACTGCACAGAACGGATGTCGGAAAGGGTTACATGGTTGTAAAGAACTTCTTCTCATTGACACTGCTATTTGCCGACAAGTCTATCGTAATCACAAAAATATGTCCGCTGCTTGGGTGGATTACAAAAAGGCATATGACTCTGTTCCACATTCATGGCTAAAGAGAGTTTTAGAAATATATAAAATAGATGACAAAATTCGTAAGTTTTTAAGTAAATTAATGGGTGAGTGGAACACTATACTAAATCTACCAGGTGAGTGGCAAAGTAATTCGATAGACTCTATAAATATTAAACGGGGTATATTCCAGGGAGATAGTTTGAGCCCAACTTTGTTTTGTTTAACCCTGAATCCTTTAAGCACTGCTATTGAGGAATCCGGATTATGGTTTCGGTTTCGAAAAGAAAACTCACCGATCTCACATCTACTTTATATGGATGATCTCAAACTATTCACATCAAAAGAGAGTAATCTACTATTATTGTTGAAATTAACATATAGTTTCAACAATAATATTAGAATGGAATTTGGAATAGATAAATGTGCTGTCATCAACGTAAATAGGGGCAAAATTAAAGATTGTAATAATTTTGCAATTAAAAATGACTTACAATTCAGTTCTCTTTCTGAAACAGAAACCTATAAATACTTGGGCATGGCAGAAGCACTAGGAATTAATGACAAAAATATTAAAGAAAATTCAAAAGTAAAATTTATATCAAGATTAAAAAAAAGTTATCAAAAGTCATTTATCCGACGGAAACAAAATTAGAGCATATAACTCCTGGGTAATACCTAGCCTTCTATATACTTTTAGTGTTTACAAAGAGGTCTCAAACAGAATTGGATGACTTAGATAGACGAGTCCGTACATTAGTGACTACGCACAGAATGCACCACCCACGATCATATGTCATGAGGTTGTATCTTCCAAGAAAAGGTGGTGGACGGGACTTATTAAACATTAAAAACCTACACAACTGTGAAGTATACAACCTCAGAGACTATTTTATTAAAAAAAAGACACATCACACATTCCTAATGACGTAGTGATTAATGACAAATCATTAACCCCGCTTAATATGTCAGCAAAGGACTGGCAGAGGCCTCATACTATGACTATAGATGAACGCAAAAAGGTTTGGAATGACAAACAACTGCATGGTCGATTTTTTAAAGCATTGAATAATCCTTGTGTAGACATGGTTGCATCAGTACATTGGTTACAATTTGGTGACCTTTTTGCAGAAACTTTTTTTGAAGGTTTTATCTGTGCAATACAAGATGAAGTAATTAAAACGAACAAATACCGGAGATACATTCTTAGGGACGGCACAGTTGACGTATGTCACGCATGTCACCACCGTGGAGAGTCCCTCAGACACGTTATTTCCGGTTGTTCACAACTATCAAATGGTGAGTATTTGCACAGACATTACCAAGTAGCTAGAATAATACACCAACAGCTTGCCATTAAATTTGGCTTTACTCAACAGGACATTCCATATTATAAGTATGAACCAAAACCAGTCCTTGAAAATAGAAGTGTCACACTTTACTGGGATCGGTCAATTATGACAGGTTTATAGTAGCAAATAAACCTGACATTTTGGTGATAGACCGAACTACACGCAAGGCAATAATAGTGGATATCAGTGTTCCTCATGACGATAATCTCGTAAAAGCAGAGAATGATAAAAAAATAAAATATATCGACCTGGCTCATGAGATTGTCGCTACGTTGATTCTACTATTATTGTACCAATAGTTGTATCAGTCAATGGGCTTATTGGTAAAAATATGGACGATTATGTGTCCAAGTTAGGTTTGGGCAAATAACTGAAGGCATTAATTCAAAAATGGCTATTAATACGGCTCGAATAGTAAGAAGGTTCCTATCTTTGGATGCCTAACTTCACCGATGGCTTAGAATTCCTCGCCGCGGTGGATAATAACCGAAATAATAATATTATTTATATAGATTGTATTTATATTTATAATATTATAGTTTTGTGATAATATATGTGATAAAAATAAATAATAATACTATGCCGTGAATACCCCAGTTTTGGTTGATTCAAACGATGATGGAACAGTCGCCCAGCAACTGGAACTGGAGCAAATGAGGAGTACATTGGATGAGGCAATTTTGGAAACGCGCAGTACGCCTCTCGAAAATCAACCGCGACTTCCCCGCATAGCCCTCAGCAAGTGGAATCGGGCTATCGTGAGGGCTCTGAACCCAATGCTGGTGACCTATTTGGAAGCCAGCCGGGACCTTTGCGAGACGGACTCAATTCTCTTTGGCGCCACACTGGCAGTCTGCCGTATTATAGGCGCCAAACTTTCCACGGCTGGACGCACTACTGGACAAAGTAGTGCTATCCCAGTGTGGAGAACAAGAATTGAAGAACGTATCGCAAAGGTTACTGCCCTCATCGGCAGACTGATATGCTTCAGGTCAGGCAATACCAGGCCATGGATTGTGCGCACCGTCAGGATGGCGGTTGCTGGGACAAATGTTAGTTTGACATAGACGACCTGAAGCAGAGAATCGCTGTTTGTAGAAAGCGGATTTGGCTATATATCGAGAAGTCGACACGGTTCAACCAGACTCGTCTCTTCCAGAAGAGGCTCTATAAATCATTGGAGTGACCAATGTTAAGTGAAACGGGCCCAGTACCGAATCAGGCCAACACGGTCGCATTCTGGCGCAGCCTGTGGTCAGAGCACGTAATCCACAACGAGGGCCCTTGGAAGGAAGTTGTGGCGAGTCAGCCACGACCATGGACCCCGTCATCATAACGCCGGATGACGTAGCTGAGGCGGTCTGTAGGGCCCCGAACTGGAAAATTCCGGGGCTTGATGGGCTGCATAACTACTGGCTGAAGGGGTTCATGGTGTGTCATGCTGTGCTCGCTCGACAGTTTCAAGAGGCTCTCAACCAGAAGTCGCTCCCGAGCCTCTTCACAACTGGGATCACTCATTTGGTTCCTAAAGATCAGGGTACCACAGACCCGAGCAAATACCGCCCCATCACGTGTCTACCGACCATATATAAGACACTAACATCCATTTTGAGTGCGAGAATCACTCGTCACCTGGACTCAAATCAGGTGATGTCGCGCGCTCAAAATGGATATCGGGGCGGCGGTTGTGGAACCAAGGAACCACTCCTCATTAACGCGGTCATTGGCAAAGTGGTGAAACTCAACCGTCGGAAATTCTCCGCCGCCTGGATAGATTACAGAAAGGCATTTGACTCGGTGCCCCATACATGGCTAAAGAGGGTCCTCGAGCTGTACAAGATTGACTGTACAGTTCGAGACTTCCTCGAGCAGTGTATGGGGCAGTGGAGTACGATCCTCTGTCATCTAGGCGAGCGAATGACGGCTGCGGAAAGCCGCATAAGGATAAGAAGGAGTATATTCTAGGGCGAATATCTGAGTCCAATCTGGTTCTGCCTCTCTTTGAACCCTCTCAGTACTTTACTGGAGGGCTACGGGAGGGGATTTCAACTTCGGATAGGAGGTACAAAAATGACCCACCTTTTCTATATGGATGACCTCAAATTATTCGTTTCCAGTCGCTCCCATCTTATGGAATTGCTAATCATCACTTGTGAATTTAGCAATTCTATTAGAATGGAGCTGGGGACGGATAAGTGTGCGGTCCTCCATGTTGAAAGGGGAAGGGTTGCTAAATCTGAGGGCATAGACTTATCTATGCTTGTCAACTTAAGGACCCTTTCGTGCTACCCCGATACCTGGGTATGTCACAGAATATCGGTATCGATGAAGCTGGTATGAAACAGTCAGTTTGCGACGTGTTTTATGCACGCTTGACCAAAGTGCTTAACAGACTTTTGTCCGGTGTGAATAAGACACACGCATATAACGGCTGGGTCATGCCTGTCCTCATGTATACCTTTGACATACTCTGGTGGAGTCAGACTGAACTAAACGCCTTGGATAGAAAAGTCCGCACTACAATGACGTCCCATAGGATGCATCATCTGAGATCGTCGGTAATGAGGCTGTACTTTCCGCGAAACATTGGTGGCTTGGCCCCACCCAAACCCCAGGGTGGGCCCCCGGCGAGAAAACCCAAACAAAAGGCCCCACCGAAAAAGCCGCAAAGGAGCCCACAAAAAAGAAAGACCTGGCTCACGAGCCTGGCTCGGCCGTTTAAACGGTCTCCTTTGCCGAGGGCTTCCATCTGGTCGGGCTTTTATTTATTTATGTACTTTTGTATTTATTTTATTTTAATTATATTTATGTATATTTATTTTTTCATTTTAATTTATAATTATATATTTATAGAACCCAACCGGATGAGAAAACTATATAGATACCCCACATAATATTAAAATAACATAAATCGATTTTATATATTAACAAAACCACCAACAAAACTTACCATAATGATATAATACAATACTTTTTGTTAAAAACACAAAGAAAAAGTCTTAAATATATGTAAGTAAAAATAGGTAATAAATTAGTTCATATACCTGGGGTGCCTGTCCGAGGTAATGGGTACATGGGCATGAACCCAGTGCCTCAAAAAAGTATACTCGGGTTTCTCACTAATTACGTTAAGAATGCTGTTGGCGCTCCCACGATCCCTGTGCATCAGTGACGCAGTTCTTTTGCGAATAAGTGTTGACAAATTGTCTACGTGGGCGTCAACAAACATACCTGATACACTACAGTAACGTGTGTACGTAGGGTGTTGTATGCGTGTATTGTAGGGTGTTGATTGGCAATAGGCCTTAAATAAAATAACGTTTATCTCGGCTGTACAACGTGAGAAACGACAGGCCAGCATATTGCAACGGCAGCCAGCGCTCTCCTTGCTCTTTCAATGTCTTTATCATCTTTTAAATCTTTGGTAACAACATGACTTAGGTACTTAAATTCAGTTACTCGTTTAAGTGCAACACCCCCTAAAGTTACAGGTGATACGAAATTTGATTTCTTCGTGCCCACCTTAAACACCACGAGCTCACTCTTCGCAACATTATATTTTAGACCGTGGGCTTTTGCATAAACCTCACATATTAACAAAAGCCGTCTGAGTGCACTGACTGACGGGCTTAGAAGCACCATGTCGTCTGCGTAACTGATGTTGTTCATGCAGAGTCCATCAATGGAGCAGCCGACACGTGCACTCCCGAGTTTATCAATCAGTTCATTTATATATAAATTAATGTGTGGTGAGGTTAATCCCCCTTGTCTCACACCGCATTTCAATCTGTACTCGTCCGATAGTGCACTAGACCACCTTACCGAATTAATATGATGATCGTACCAATAGCTAAAAATACTAATGTACGAGACGGGTAGACCAGCCTTTCGCAATTTATCCCACAGAATGTCATAACTTACAAGGTCGAAAGCCTTTGAAATATCCAGGAAGGCTGCGTACACTGGCGTATTCCTTACAGTGTAATACCCCATAGTGTGCTTCAGCGACAGTATTGCACACTCAGTTAATAGATTTGGTCTAAAACCAAATTGTACATCGTTTAACTTATATGTACTTTTAACTGTCTCTCAAGCATACTGTCAAGTATCTTAGCCGCAGTTGTCTCTAATAAAAAAGGGCCGATAGTTGCACATATCTGAAATATCTCCAGTTTTGTTTCTCAAAATCGGAACTACGACCGTTCTCATCAACTCTTCCGGCAAATACGAGTGCCTCATACATAGGGTGAAAAAGAGCGCCAGTAGTCTAGGTAAGTTCGGACCAGCGAACTGAAAGTGCTCGATGCTAAGGCAATCGGGACCGGGTGAATTTCCTCCAGTCATGCCATTTATCAAAACAGCGATGTCCCTGGCGGTGATGCTATCGGGCACATGAGTTGCACCAGTGTGGTGATGAACCGCAGCATCGACTTTAACATGTGACTGTAAAGAATACTGAACGCGGAACTGACTCTGAAAAAGATTCATTTACACCCCCAACGCTCACCGGGGTACCTGCTCTAGGACTCAACTGCTTAGTATGCTTCCAAAACCCACGAAAATCTTTATTCCTATGTTGATACGCTAGTTTATTCATCTTGATTTGGTCTTGATTATTTTGACAAAACTTAAGTTTTCGTTTAAATACTCTTTTAAATTCCATCATATCATTACAAATATACCCACCACGCGGCTTTCCCAGCCAAATCCAATTTAGGAATTTTTATCGAGCATCCCGGTGAGCATCTCGCACGTGGCAGTTCCACCCTAGTATAGGTCGACCACTCCTTTTGACTTTCTCCCGCTCGCGATCACACAAACTATTAACAATGGATATATATAATTTATCTATTACAGATAGATGTGCGAAAACATCACACATACTATCACAACATCTCGCGTAATAGGGTCTTACTTAGTTCATACGGGAAATCGATTTCTCTTAATTTGTCGTTACAATATTTGCTATATATGTCAATTACGCTCACCACATTTTACTTTATTGATTATAAATTCCTGAACCGACAGTGACCTACACCTAACCACTGTAAGATCACACTGCACCTCTAATGGGAAATAGTCCGTCCAATAAACGTCCTTATAAATTTTAATTGTAACTACAGATTTCCATGCAGCCTGAGTTGTTAAACAGTGGTCAAGCCAGCTACAACTATCATGTATATCACTCATAAAGGTATAAGAACGCGAGTCAATTCCTAGTTTCATAATATCAGCTGACAACCAATTTTGTTCTAGACAGAATTTAAACATTTCCTTACCAAACAATGTACCTGGGTGTGCATTAAAGTCTCCTAACACATACATAGTTTCAATATTCTAATTACCTACTATTGCAGATATTTCACTTAAACATTCAACAAAATCTACGAGATTATCTAGCTCGTCCGTAGGCATATTCACATTAAAAAATAACATGAACCGATCCAAAACGCATACTTTAATCGCAATAATACGCTCACTCTTACACGGAACTACAGTTACAGAGTCAAACACGTTGTTTTTCCACAGTAAGCCAACACCGCCATAAGGTCGTCCTCGGAATAATCCTTTGCTTATATCAACCGCGGACTTCCCGAAAAAAAAAATCCTTATTTACTTGACCCAATTCAGGAATCTCATCAATCATGTCTCCTGAAGCGCAATTATATCCACCCTTGCACTCAAAGACTTTACAAAGTCTGCAGATCTTTTAAAAGATTTACAATTAAAACTTATCAACTTGATAGTTGTATTGTCCCCAGCATCATTATTCATCATTTTTCTTTAATAAAGATAGGTTACTCGATTTACTTTCATTTAAATTACTCGGCTTATTAAACCTAATAAATCTGCGGAAAGATACTCCAGTTGGCCATAGGTTTTCATCCATAAACACAGGTAACTTATCCTTTAGAATCATAAATTTGTAAGCTCCTTAAGTCCTTTTTGAATTTCGTATATACTTTATCTAGTCGCACTTCAGTGTTAGTTTTACATTTAATATAATTCATTATGTCATCAGTCTCGCAGCTGTTATCAACGTTATAAATATAAAACGGGATTTTAA